GGTATGGGTGATCTTGTAAGAGCTTTAAATCAGCCTCTGGGGATTGGATCCAAAAGAGTCCCAGGGCAGAATGCTGAGCATTGAATTGTTCTTTGGGAAACAGCGAGTCAAGCCAGGCAAAGTGGCCACTAGGTGTTGCTGATGCTGTGCTGGGAAGAGCCTGAAAAGGGGTTTTAACTCCCACTTTGTTGAGTCTATCTATTCCTTCTCGGTCCGTGGGCAGTTAGGTTTGGATAGGACTTGCTTTTCCTTGCCCACTCAGGTCACATTTTGATTCTGTGTTTTGTTTTGATTTTCTCTCCTTAGCTCCACATCGCTGTCCTTGCAGTAAGTAAAGGAATACAAAGTGGTTTTCTGCCTCCCCCTCGCTTGAAAGAGATACAGAGTCAAGGTTGTGTCAGCCTATATTTTTAAGGGGAAGACAAAATGTGTGTGGTTTGTAACAGAGCAGTGACCTTTCTTAAGTATAGGAAATGTGAAGGTCTAGGCTGGATGAGAATGTTTTTTTCAGCGTGTCAGACTTCTGACTGAGGTCTCACATGCATCCTGAAACCCTGAGAAACATTTTCATGTGATTTCTGTTATGGAGGCTGCTGTGTCCTCTCCATTTTCTCCTGTAGAAGTGTCCTCCCTATTAATCTGATCCCAGAGGAACCACACACTGGTGATTACATAGGCAGCCCTTGGCCTCTGTAAAGCATCAGGAGCTTTGCTCTGCATCTACTCTGTGCATCATCTGAGCAGTTAAATCTCAGGCATCAGCAGTTGCCTGTGAGGGCTGGAATGGGAATTAACCTCATTCCTCCACAATTACACCCATGAGTGTCTTCTACCTGTCTTTGAAGTGGTAAGTATTGACTGCTGATAGAGGAAAGCTGTTTCTCAGCCATTCCTTTCTCTGATCCCATGCTAAAGATAGTTCAATCTCTGCTGTAAACTGGAAATATCATTGTTAGTCACTGGTTCAAGTTGTCCCAGGGGAGAATGCCCTCACTGTGCTTTCTTGTAACAGATTTACACCAATCCCAAGGAACCGGAGGTAAGAAAGAGCCTTAATTAATCTTTGAGGCAACTGAAGACATGGGTGAGTACATTTGTATTGAGAGTGGAGTCGTAGGCTGAAGTCCTCCCCTGGCATAGCTGCTTGGTGACCCTGTTTCTTGTTCTTCTGCCTTCAGTCCAGAGTGACAGCTCAGTGAGCTGGACTGTGATCAAACACCAGGCTGTGGGCTCTTCAGGGATGTGAGCAGGCAACTAATGGGCATGTTTGCAGTGTTGTCTTTGTGTCCCAAAAAGATAAAATGGGAAGTCCAAAATAATTCATTTACCAACCACCTTTTTTAACAGCCCTGATAAAAAGAGCTGTTTTGCCGTGCCGAGAGATGCAGGACACAAGTCAGGAATCCCTTCAGAGCTGGATGGATATGTCCTTTTGGTGTTCCTTGTGTTTCTGTTTTGTTACATCTGTCTGGGGGAAACACTCTGCAGGGTGAGCCATAAGTGATGTTCTGCATCCATCCTGCCTCTGCAGAGCAGGTGCAGAGACCAGCTGCAGGCACTTTGCTCACCTGGTTCCAGTTCTGCTGTGTGGCAGCTCAGCATCTGGGGACAGAGCAAGAGTCTAGTTGTGCCAAGGCTGGGATTTGTAGGGAAGACTCAGAGTTAAGGGCTCAGCTGAGCTCCTACTAATCGACCTCATTGTCTCCGGAAGAAGTGAATTATAGGCATGGAATTGGTCTACAATAGATCCTTTCTCCTGGGGGGATGTTCTCTGTTCTTCCTAATTGTTTTATTCTCTAATCCTTTTAAATGGAAAATCATCCAGTTGTTTTATCTCCCTCAAAAAAACCCTCTGAGTCCGGTGAAATTCAGTGACTCTTTGCCATGCAATATTGTTTGGATTTACTTGTGGGGACAGACCTCCAGACCCTGGTCTCCATACAGAGCACTGATCCAGACTACCTTGTGACATTGCCTGACAGTTGTCCTTTGGCAAGGGAGGTCCCTGTGAGGGTTGGCTGTCCTCAGAGCTTTGCTAGAGACTGAGGCTGGAGGTCAGGCCCACAGAGGAAGTGGAAGGAGGAAGTTTGTAATTTTGTTGTAGTTCTTTCAGTGCTAGGTGAGATGTGGTTGGTAAGAAAACTTGCCAAAGCCAGTGCAAGAAATAGTAAAGTTAAAGCTGTCACCATGTCATTAAATTAATGCTGTGCTCTGGCATAGAGGGTGAAAGGACTCTGCCAAGCTCAGTGCACATCTCTACACTTGTTGCTCCAAGTGACCCATTTATGTCTTTCCCCTCTCTTGTTACATCTCCAGACAGTGACAGAACTGTATCAATTCAAATTCGAGTACAAAAAGAAGGTGCCCCAGATGGACATCAGCAGGTAAGGGGTTGGGTTGCTTTCCCAGGATTACACTGAAGCTGTGTTGTGGAAGCATTAAAAAGCTGCACTTTCTGTTTGCCCAGAGAGGCTGTGGCTGCCCCATCCCTGAAAGTGTTCAGGACCAGGTTGGACAGGGCTTGGAGTACCCTGAGCTAGTGAAAGGTATCCCTGCCTATGGCATGGCATGAGCTTTAAGATCCTTCCAACCCAAACCATTCCATGATTTGAGCATGTCCAAGTCGCTAAGCGGCTGCAAATAGCATCAGAGTTAAAGAAATTCACCTCACAGGACATGAACTGCTAGGAGATTAGTTGGAATGCTGTGTGAGGCACTGACAGTGCCCCTGAGCTGAGTTAGGGACAGGTGATGCAAGCAGTCCCTCACCAGGGAGATGATGCAGAAACCAGCACAGCTGTCGAGGTTACTGCTGTCCTAACGGGTGTTCCTGAACTTCTGCCAGCCACCCTTGTGCTTTCAAATGAAGATTGTTCAGGTTTGATCCCTTTCACCATGATCCTGCCCCCAGGAATTTTTTCTCTTGGGCATTTGCATACATGTGTTCTGCTTGAGCAGTTCTGCGTGGGTGACCTGAGAGAACTTTCGCTTACGATGCCTGAGTCGATGGTGCAAAACATGCGGCAGGAAGCAGCAGCTTTTTGCCTCTTTTTGGTGCTCTCTGTTAGATATTTAAAGCTGTGCTTAGTAGGCCATAATGCTGTGGAGTTTCAAATAAATACTGACAAAGGCTGTTGGTTATAACCAAAGCAAAGGAAGTAATTAACCCATTTCTAGTTTGTTCTGCAGTTGCCATTGGTGAAATCTTTGGGCCTTGGAAACTGCCTGTACTGCAAGAGAGCTCTGCTGTCTTGTGTTCTCCTTGGGAAGCTCCTCCACAGCACTCCTGGGGTGTGCTGCTAGCTGCTCTTTCTCTAAGCACATCCAAATAATTTCTAGAATGTGGCAAAATGATTTCCTGTTGGAAAAATCTGAATAACCTGAGTCTGGAGTGTGCTGTTGGTGTACCCTCTGTTTCTGTGTTGAAGCTGCTGTCTGTTGTCCTCACTACACTGAGGGTAAGAGGAGATTTGGGATTTGAAAGATAATAGATGGCTCTTGAGTACTTTGGGGTTTTGGTCAGCCTTACTCCTTAGTTTCTAGAAATAAGGACAGTCCACAAGTGTAGCTCAGCAGCCCTCAGTCTGTTGTGCTGGCCAAGGAGAGGCCAAGCAATTCTGATGTTGTGTTTGAGACTTCAGAGCCTGAGGCACTGCATTCCTGGGCTCTGCTCAGTTTCCTCAGGGACTGACTGCCATGGCAGGCTCCTGCATGTCCTGGCAGTCCTTAGTAATCCGATGTTCTGGCATGGATCAGGGAATTGTGTCATCTTTGCCATCAGCTCCTTCAGCTGATAAGGCTGCTTTATACACCTGCAGTGGTTGTTGTCATGAGCAAACGTGGAGTTCTTCATTCCAGGAGAGATGTTTTGTGGATTTGCATCATTGCATGTGAGAGACCTAAATGGTCTCTGCTTTATTTTAGATGGATTTTAGAAGAGTTCCTTGCCATGGATCCCAGTCCTTCCAAGGTTCAGTTCCTTGTCTGTTGCATCAAATTCACAGTGTTATTCCCATATTGAAGCAGTACTTGGTCTGCTAATCCCTATGGAAGTCTTATCTCTTTTTTTCTTATGATCTTTCCCCTTACAATTTCTATTCTGCTAATTCCACAGCTTGCCAAGGTGATGGGTGAGAGAAGTGCTGCCTTCTCCGTGCCCCACGCAAGGCTCTGCCAGCATTTTCCTCTCACTTCCTGTACATTTCTGAACACACTGGATTTAATCTAAGCATACATCTAATACCACAGAGTTTTGCTGTTGGCAGTTTGGAGCCTAAGAAACCACCCCCTGCATCTGTCAGTGGTTGGACTTGATGATCTTAGAGGTCTTTTCCATCCTAAGTGATTCTATGATTCCACACGCTGGGAAGTCAAGCTGTTCCACAGCCACTCCATTTTAATGACGAGCCAAGAACTTCAACTGGAAGGGGGAATTGGTCTTAATGGAGCTGTTCCTTCCCTGGATTCAGTCAGTCAGATTCACCCCTGGGATCCTCTGCTCTCTTAGGTTACTAATTGCTTCTAAAGCAATTTTGGGTAATTGCATGAGGGACTATCCAACCTGTGTGTAGGACCACCCACCCCTGTGCCAGGTGTCTTCCAAAGACATAATCAAGGGACTACATTTTTTTATGGCCTCTTCTCATTGAAAGTTAGGGAAGTTCAGGTCCCTTAGTCACAGAGTGATTCATCTGAGCCGTCTCAAGTTCTCTGGCTGCTCCAAATTGCTCATCTCATCTACCTCTGTAGTCAGGAGAAACAAACTCCCCCAGAGCGCAGTTCATCCCACTGGTGTCGGCCGTGGGTCTCAGTCTAGACTGCCTGCTCCAGCTGACATTTGGGTGGCTGAAGGGGGTGAGAGGAATGCCCCTTAGTCACTGCTGAAAAATGTGCTTCTGAGCTAGTTTTTCTTTCATGGAACTGAAGTGAGAACACGCAATTCGCAGCAATTCCCTTCTCTTCAAACTGCAAAATGGACTTGAAAATAGCCCCTGTGATGAATCGGCTTTGGATGGGATTCTCACCTCATTCCTCTCATTCTTGAAATTGCTTAGGTGAAAGGCACTTGTTTTGTGTTCCTTTGATCCAATTTAATCATGTTCAAACAAGTGAGTCATGACATTTGTATAATGGGGTCCATTGCCCTAGCTCCAAAGTCTGTTCAAAAGTAAATGCCAAGCCTCTGAGCTTGGAGCCAGAGTTCTGGATGCCACCCCATCCCTGGAGCCTGTTTCACTTCCCTGTTTCTCTGGAAATTACATAAAGGCATTGTAGCTTTGTCACTGGTGGTTTCAGGCGAGTCAGTGGGTGCTCTGTATGTGTAATTAGATCGTGAATATTCATGACTGAGGATAACAAATCTGTTATGCTCCTTCCGACTGTAGCAACCACAGGGAGCTGGTGACGGGTGTGTGCAGTGAGGACATCACCCAGGCCAGCAGGCTCCTGCTCCGCAAGCTGTACCTGCTCATGCAGAACCTCGGGCCACTGCCCAATGACATCACCCTGAGCATGAAGCTCCTCTACTACAACGATGGTAGGGGCAGAACAGTGTGTGCCGTGGGGAAAAAATTCCCTTCCCATCAGTTTCCATAATAAGATAAAGTAAAGAAAGCAGAGAAAGGTGAGGTGGTAGAAGCTGTTGGCTGCTAAGAGTGAGAAATGATGTAACACAGCAAAGCCTTCTGATGTACAGGGATGACAGGTGCTTTTTAGGAAAGGTTTGAAATCCCTGTAAGAATAACAGTGTGAAAGAGAGACATCTTCTCCTTTGCTGTTGGTTTTTGAATTTGCTTAAGGAGCAGGCAGTGTCAGCTCCAGAAACCAAACACTTTCATGGTATCTCGGCATGCTAAAGTCATTCTTTCTTTGAGCTCCCTGATAACATTGGCTCAGCTCATTTTTCCTTTTGCATTTCCTCCTATCCTCCTGAAAAGAAACCCCTGAATATTTTTAGTACTTGGTGTTACTGGAGGCTGGTTCACACTTGTTCTATGTAAATCACATTAAGGAGAGCTGGAACTCAGTTCCCCTGACCTCAGTGCGTTCCCTCTCTCTGTGCAGTCACTCCCAAAGATTACCAGCCCCCTGGCTTTAAAGAAGATCCCAGCTCTGGTAACCTGCTGTTTGATGGGGATCCTGTCAGTGTCAGAGTGGGCTCAGTCTCCACTGACTTCCACCTCATGAAAGTGAAGGTGACAACTGAGAAGAAGAGGATGGAGAAAGCTGACAGCAGCCTGATCCAGAAGAATGACCTTACTGAGATCTGCCATCAAGGGTTAGACTGTGAGGAGGAGGAAGAGGAGGGGAGCACAAAGGTATAGACATATCTCTGGTTCTCACTGGAGGAGTTTATCCTTAAAAGAAACATTTGCTAGGGTTTATGGATTTACCACCTGGGCATATATTTAGGTTATACTGTTAAGACCAAATGTCATTTGTTTTACAGAATCACCCTCTCCCTCTCAGAACAGATTCAAATGAGCATGAAGGGGACAAAAGTGACTCCCATCCAGGTAGGAAAACAGAAACATCTTCCTTTAGGCTTCACAGTACAAGTAAATGTCCAGTTTCAAAATTGAAGGAGCTCCTGACATAAAGGATAATATTTAGGTTTCCTTGAAATGGATGAACAGAGTTTGTCTGTTTAGATTTTGCATCAGATCAGACTGAACTGTCACAAAGGGCTGGTTGATTATGCTTGGTTTGTTAACAGAAACATTTAACTTTGTATCAGCATCTTTCCAACCTCTTTATCTCTGCATTATGTATCACTTCTCCACATGTGGAGGAAATGCACAGATCATTATAATATCTCCATGCTCACCAAAGCTCTTTTCCTTTAGCTCTTACAGTTTGATTTTTGCTAATAACTTCCATATGTGAAAACATACATGAAAATACACGAAAGCAAAGCCTTTTCTCTCCCTTCAGTCAGCCCAGGCTCTGATATACCACGCCGTGTTTGACCTTTGAGGCTCTGGGATATAGCCTGTGGAACAATACCATCTAGTGACAAAATGGTAAATAGCATTCCTGGGATCGCCGGGCAGGAGGATAAAGAAGCTTCTCTGCCTGCGAAATCACCTTTGCAGGTCCTTCTCCTGCACATCCTCCGATGACTAATAAAGAGTGAATTCATCCTGCCACCTTCGTTGCTCTGAGGATATGAACAGGATTCTTCTCCTCTAACCAGCTGGCTGTTCTCATGAAACTGGGGCACTTTGGACACCCTCTCAAATTTTATTGAAAGTGTTAGAAAGGTTAATAATTATTACCCAGGGGGCATCTCCCCCAGTTCTCTCCCCACATACACTTGGGTAGAGCATATGCAGACATAAGCTTTGTCTTCTTAAAAACCAGTTTCAACTGGAGTTGAAGTGTAATTGATAGAGCTGTGGTAAGTTGATGTGATGCATGTTCAGATGACACTTAATTCTGACATCTCTGTTTCTAGGAATAAACTCCCAGTGCTGGCAGTGCCTGAGAGGAAGAGTTACACAATTTCATGGGATTTGGCCCTAGTGGTTTAGTCAAGCTTCTGGATTATTTTATTGTTTCCAGCTAAACACTTTGGAGCTAATTCTGATTTGCTGTTTGGATTGCAGGTGGAAAGAAGGCGGCAGGAATCAAGGAGATGGGCAGGATGTCTTGCTCAAGGGGATCTCAGCAGGTGAGGGAATTTTAGTGGTTCTAAGATACTCCAGGTACAGTGGAATTTGCTGCCATGGATCATTGCATCATTGGGAATGGCACAAGATTCAGCTAACGTTGGTGGATTTATTGTGCGGGATCAAAATACAGAGAAGCTTCCTAATACACAGGGATATAAGAATGAACTGGAAGCATTTAGAAAGCAGTTTCCAAGATCAGCTAATTTCCTACACCCAGTACCAGAATTTTGTTCTGTTCTCTGGAGTTACCACCTGTGAGTTACACACACAGACTAAACCTATCACTGTCCCAGCCAGGCTGGTGCACCTGTGAGTGTTTTTGGATTAAGGGTCTGAGATCATCACCCTATCGTAGGCCTTAAGGGTGTGTTTGTCTCTTGCCTAACATGGTCTTCACCTCTGTCTGTTTCCCAGACTATCTTTACATGTGAGTCACAGGTACTTACTGAATCCTATCCCTTTTTGGCTACCTCTCTGGGATAGGAAGAATTATCCCCTGGAGGTACTGATCTCCTTTTCAGTGGTTGTTGGGGCAACCCAAAGAACAAGGATAGACCAGACATGTCATTTGAGATAAGTTAAGTGATTCCATCCCGAAGGCTCCCCAGGCCAAGCCCTGAGTCACAATCAGAGCCTGAATTCATGGGCATGTGCAAAGCCTTTTTCAGTGACAGGGCAAACCTCTGAATGCCACCAGACTTGCCACTTGATCCTCCTCCCATTCAAATTAGCTGAAAATCATGTGAGTTTGAGTGGTCAGAAACTGAATCTTTACAGGATAAGTTAACGAGAGTAGGAAATTGCTACTAACTTTTTCCTCCGCCTCTGTTGAAAAGAATCCAGGGGAGTCTAACCCAGACAGCAACTGCAGACTGCAGCTCACCGTGTCATTCTAAAGGCATCTGCGAGGTATTTGCCTTGACTCTGGATCTTAGAAATGAACTTGTATGCCTAGGCTGGTATTTTTCAAACTTTAACCACTTTTTTTTTTCATTTCACATCCTTCAGTTTCCTTCTGATCATTGTTTATTCTGTCATCTGTGTGAAAACAGGAGCCTTTTTTGTTTGCAGGTCGTGGTAGCCCCACTGATTCATGCTCTGACCTTCTTTCAGACACCTCTCTCTCTCTCAGCATGTGAATTTCATTAGAATTCGGTAGCAGGACTGTCTGAAGGAGGTGGAAACAGCATTAGTTTCTGATAAATGGAAGAATCACTATATCCATCAGATGCTTCCAAAGGCTTAAAAAGAAATAATCCCAAACCCTCTGCCTGGTAGATTCTGCATGGCAGAGAGTTTGCTTAATGTATTCCTTGATACTATTTTTAAAAGCTCATAGCTTAGAAGCTGGCTAATATTTCACTCAGCTTGGGGAAAAATAAAGTCAAGTCAGTAGTTAGATCGTCACTGCAAAGCTTGTGCTAATAAAAATTTGACACTGTTTTCCATATGAGAGGGACTTTCCCTTCTTTTGTGAGGGAAGTGGTTAGAACAAATGACCATTGTGTATTCCACTTGAATCAGGAAGCCAAGCTGGTGAGTGAAGTTTGTCTTACAAGATGAGGAGAATCTTGGGTGGATGGGAAGTGTGAATTAGGTATTATCTAACAGGGTTAAGTGCAGGTAAGATGGGTAGGAACAGTTGGGGTGTGAATATGACACCTTGTTGCTATCCAGACTACAGTACAGCCAAGTGTTTTCCAGCTGTTGTTGGAGGTGTGAATCCCAGGATTTTCTGAACTAACCAAAACAATTTGGAGTGTCCCAGAAATTGCTATCTGCAGAAGGGTGTGATAATGAAGAGGTTCTGAGTTCATAGCCAGTCCCCAAGTTACAAG